TGAGTAGGAGGAGGAGGAGGAGGAGTAGGAGTAGGAGTAGTGGTAGTAGAGGTAGATATGTAAGCAAGTATGTAAGAAATCGAATAGGTAAGAAGGCAACCAGGTAGCTGGTAGTTAACAGTTATAGTAGCAGCAGCAACAGCAGTAGTCAGTAGTAGTAGAAGAAACATAAAATAGAGGTAGTGAGTGGTAGTAGTGGAGTAGGTGTGGGACTAGAGTAGGGCGGGAGGTGTAGTAGGAGTACGAGTAGGATGAGTAGGACTAGGAGTGACTAGGAGTAGGAGTTAGTAGTAGTGGCAGTTGTTGTTGTTGTTGTTGCAGTAGCAGTAGCAGTAGCTGTAGTATTTATCTATAGTAAACTAATAGTAGTTAGTAGTGTGGTTTTTACTTAGCATAAGAAAGGTGGTACCTGGTAGCTGGTAGCAGCAGTAGTAGTTTAAAGTTAACAGTTAATAAGGAATACTGACGGGTGTGAGCACAGTCACAGTCACAGTCCTTTTGAAGGTTGAGCAGCGAGATTTGGCAAAAGATTCAAAGCCACTGCTGCCAATTTCAGTAATGGCAAATTCCTTCATTCCGTGTCCATCATTTATATATGGACTCTACAGTAAGACAGATTAAAAGTATAAGTAAAAGTTGACAACTGCCGAATGGACAAGTGACAAAGATGATCAACATCTGAATTGAATAGAAACGTTTCAACTCTGAGTTTTGGTCTAGTCTAAGCCTCTAAATCCAAGTCTAAACAAAGGACAAAGAGTCTAAGTCTATGTCTATGTCAATGTCTGAAATGTTAATAAGATTGCCTGGATCACAAAAAAACTCAGAATCTACCCACCTACCTACCTACATACCCATCAATCCATTTCGGCTGTTGATGCAGCGCTGTCGCTGACATCTTCTGAGCAAATTGAGAAGGTTTTTTGCCTTCTTCAAATTGATTTTGCACTTCAGCATTTGTTTCCTGAGGGGAGCCTGGGATGTCTTCTGGGCCTGGCAGGACTTCAACATTGCCCACGCCCTCTTCTGAACTCTTGCATCCTGAACAGGAAACGAACCGCACGCGGCATCGATCAAAGACATCTCATGTGCAAAGCGAGCTTTCAAGGACCGCGCGTAGGCATCCGAGGTGAAAAACTCGGGAGGCGTGCAGGCACCATCGTACACTGACAAAGACGGGTTTGGAACACCAGTGTTGAACATGTGGAGCATTTCCATGTTCAGTTTGCCCACTCTGGACTCATTGGAGTGCCTGTCACTGTCAGAGTCACTCTCGACGGTGTAAATGCTGACTGCGTCGCCGCCGCTGGCTGTGGATTCATCATCTTCAATGATCTGAATCTGCGCCGGGGACTCCATCTCAATGTCCAAATCAATCACCGCCATGGATGCGAAAGCCATGTGGCTAAGCAAAACGGAAGGAGGTGGCACAAAAGTCCAACGGCTAAACAAAAAAGGCGGCTGCGGCTAAGGCGAAGAGTTGAGGTCTGAATCTGAGTTCAAGCTTCTTTAGAAGACGCGGTCCTAGCCTAGGCCCAGGCCTAGTCCTGGTCCTAGTGACAAGTGACCCTGTGCCAGAGGCTAAGCTGCTACAATCTAAATCTACACTGCACATCACTCACTACACTAAGACTTACACCAGTTAAGTTGCTTGCAGGTACCACCCTACCCCAGAAGGCCCTTGGCACCTATTCCGAAGCATATTGATGAACGCGCTGCTGTTGAGCTTATGCGTCACGACGTAGTAGCCACCGTGCTTGAATGATTGAGCAGCCAAATTCTGAAGAAACCTGCCAGCAATGGAGGCTGTTATTTATTATTTAGATCCCACCGCTGTGCAAACAAAGCAGTAACAAATGTTGGACTGGACTCCACATTCATTCAAATGCATCCAACATGTTGAAACTAAAATTGCAAAAAAATAGCAAACATCAAAAAGGTATCATTGGGCACCTGTCTTTTGGTGTCTCTGAAGTGGTTGTGTCATATGGAAGGCAAAACCCCCAAACTTGCTCAAACACCATCTTCTTTGGCTCTTCTTGAAGAATCAGGCGTTGAACGGCTGTGTCTGTCACGCGGTATAGGGAGTGTTCCACTACTGCACCTGGCTGAAACCGTTTCACTCTCTGAGTTGAGAATGGTGGGCACGGGCTGCCAGTGAACAGGATGTCCACCTGCTGCCCATCATCACTTGCCTTGCATGGGTTGCTGCCCAACAAAGAGCCTTTGCAAAGGCAGCACTGACTTGATCCGTCCACCTGTGCAGGAGAACTTGGTTCCCACCCGAAGGGTTGGGCGGCCATTTATATAACTAGTAACTAGCAACTAGCAAGTGCAGTACTTGTCCCTATTTGCTAGCAAGTCTGAGTCTAGTGAGTCTAGTGTAGTGACTGACTAGTGACTAGTGGAGTTCATTCCCTTCATACATTGGCTGACTAAAGCCTATCCAGGTGGCCTGCTTTTGAATATCATCAAAAATGTGCTTGAACCTGCCAGGATAGTTCTGCTCATAGAATTCTCGGCAGAAAGGGTTGATGTCGCTTGCACTCAACATGACATAGTCAATGCCCAACGCCTGCAAAGTACATATGACATATGTCTTTTCTGGAAACCAATTACTTGTTAGCTATTAGAACAGGTTGTAATTGCGTAACAGCATATGTGGGCATATGTCATATGTTTAAGTTTAAGTGTCCTCAACAAGGTTTCCTCTGACTCTACTCTACCTGCTACCTGTCCACAGCTAGCAGCTAGCTAGCTAATGAAATGCATTGAGATCTATATAGGTCATTGAAAAAGCAATCGTTCGGCCAATCACTTTGCCTTGCAAACAGCAGATTCTGCACTACATCCACTGCATGCGCTCAACAGTTTCACAGGCGAAGAACACTTGCGAGGCCAAGTAAGACCAATGTCAGTGGTTACTTTCCGCAGAAGAACTGCCCACCATCCACTCAGCACATCTGTGTCTTCAGATTCTGAGCTACTCTGTGTACGGCATCGTTCAGCGTCCTCGATATCATTTGGATTGGGAGCTGCAGCTTGATGAACCTCTTCATCAAAAAGCTCATCCCAGTCAAGTGACATGGCTTCCCAGTCAGTTGACTGCGGGTGACAACGACAATGCTGCTGAAACCATCCGGTTTGCTTTCCTCTGAATTCATGTGAGTAATCCTTATAATATAGATAATATAGACCTAGGACCCAGACCTAGAATTATCTGAGGTAAATCCAGCCCACTAGCAGCCAGCAGAGTCTCTCTCTTGACCCTCCAAATGCAACGGTTCTGGTCGGATTTCCCTACACGCTCTGTGCAACACATCAGTACTTCTACTTATTCTACTTACTACTTCTTTCAATAACCATCTCTGATGAGAATGACATGAAAGCCAGAATCACCTCAAAAAACTCAGCTAAATGAAAAGCAGTGAAGAAAAAGGATACACAAATGAAGTCTCCAAATGATTGAAAAGGACACCAGTGACAGGACACCAGTGACAAGCCATATGATAAGAAACGACAACATAAAGAAAAACAATGAATAATGAAAACAAAATGAAAACAAAAGTAAGTCCTCCCAGAGTATCTGAATGATAACGAAATGAAAACATTATGATAATGAAATGCAAATTAATTCATTTTAGAGCTCCCCAAGCTGTGGCCCAAAGAATCTCATAATATAAATCTTGATCGGTTCTACCGACTGCTACAGCGAGTGTGATGACTGTGGTAGCCCCTGTTCAACCGCCAGAAAACCACGCGCGTAGCAAACTTGGAGGAATCAAATCTGTTATACACGAAAGTTAAGGCGGCGGCTTGGGAAACAATGGTGTAACTCCCTTCCTATCCCCAATGTGTTTGACCAGAACCATTGACCCACCTTTCTGGCTTCCAAACTTGCTTTGAACCCGGTTGGACAGACCGCGGCGGCCCAACTCGAGGCATCGGAGGCAGGTCTTCACTCACTGGTCACTGGGGAGATTTAAAACCAACAATTGCATCAATCACTCCCTAAGCAAAACCCAGGCAGGTGAAGATAGACCCTATAAGCAAGATAGACCCATGATATATACCCTATAAGCAAAAGCCAGGCTGGTGACCGCCCCTCGTCTACACCACCTCCTCGTCTACACCTGCCCCGTCGCCCCGTCGTCTTCCTCCGCGTTTCGGCTCCAGGCATCGGGCTGCTCGTGGTAGCTGGGCTCCTCGTGGAAGCTGAGGTAAAGTGGCAAAGCACCAAGGCCTCCAGGCATCGGGCTGCCCGTGTCCCCGCACCGTTTCCACCGCTACCCGGCAGAAACATCGACTTTTGACCCCCCCCGCTCACCCCGGTGCCGTCCGTTTTTGGGCGGGGGGGCTGGAAGCTTCCCACCGAAGTTGGGTGGGGAACTCAATTCCATCCTAGGTTATCCATGATTCTCCGCTGATTGGGTGCACGCACCTCCCAGAACCCATCGAGAGAGGGTGAATTCGGTCCAGGTAAGAAATGGAACCAGGAAACTAACCTGGCATGAATTGCGTTCGCCCATGTTCTCTCTGTACCGGTCCACTTAACTTGTAGGCCTAGTTCCCAAGACAAGGTAGATCTAGAAACCATACTTCCCTATCGCAGGGGCGTAGCGCAAAAGAAACCATATTGCTTTGGACCCCCTTGCTAGCTGGAAGCCAACGGCAAATGGTCCAAATGTACAGCTCACTGTCCCCCAAACGCTTCAAGATAAAACTCACTGTCCCCCAAACGCTTCAAGATAAAACAGTTTCAGAATAGATACAGTATGAGTAGATGGCACCAACTCCCGCATGATCCTACAAGTCTTTTAGATCGGGGTCCATATAGACCACCAAACCTGGGGATTGTGTCATCTTCTCTCCATCCACTATACAAGCCAAGTCTCCAAACCTGCCCCCGGGGCGTGGGTAAAAACACTGGACTTTTTCGGCTTGGAGAAGGGCAACAAAAAGAAGCCCCAGGCCCAATGGGCAACTCACTCCAACACCGTTCACGCGGGATTTTGGTGGCTCGTCGCCCCTCGTTTCGTCGCCTCGGTCCAGCTGCGCCACGAACGTCGGACGTCGGACGTCCGACACGGCCCGACACGGCCGGACTCCCCCAACGACTGAACTCCAGACCTGCCCAGCAGTCCGTCTTTTTGGCACATGTTATCCGTTGGCCTTCTCCCACCACATGGGTCCCCAAAGGTCCCCAAAGGTCCCTGTGCATGATGGTCCAAACATGTCCAAACCAAAACATACGAAGAGGCGCGCAGTAGCCCGGCGTAGTCTCGGAAAGGTCCCGAGCGCGGGCCGCTCACCTGGACGACAGGTGACCAGGCACTTCTGAAGAAATGCCATGTATACTGTAGACTCTTGATTAACAAACTCACCCATTTGAACTGGAAATCCTTTTCATATGGAGGGTTGATTCTCATCAAGAGTCTACAATGTATGGAATATTGGCATCATATATATATTGCATGCATGGGGATGGTCTTGATATGTGTTCTCTTTGATGAGATGTTTTGGGGGTCAAAATGTAAGTTAGTATCCCATGCATGGATTGTTGGGGATTGGATTTCAGCGGCGGCCTGGTCATTGGATGAGGGCGAGAGAGCTAGTGAGCAGAACCTCACCCAACCTACAGGCTCCCAAAGAGTGACGTACGTTATTGGAAGAGGCGATTTCACTGGAGTTGATCACCCCAAAAAGAACACGACCCAATGCAAAGGACGGTTTCGCTGGGGCTTTGGACCTGTAGGATGTTGTCATCGTAACATGTAAAGTATAGTTTTTGTATGATCTAGTCTATTCATATCTATTCCTTGGAAGTCAGCGGGGGGAACTTCACCTAAAGACTCCATGCGACATGGGAAAGAGTGACAGTGTTCGGGATGTTTCTGCCGAAGCACTCCAAACGATAACATGTTTAACACAACTCTGCCCTCCAAAAAGGGCCGCAGGACCACTACCAACGCTCCCCATGACGGTGCGTCAATGACAAAAAAGCCGCCCCTTAGAGTAGAGAGCCTTGGAGCTCCGGGGTGTCCATTCACTACCCCCTCGTGGGTCATGGAGTTCCGAGGCGGTCGGAGACCTCGGACCCCAACTCTCTGGGTCGGACGGTGCGCCTCCAGCACGGGGAGTCGATCCGAGGACAGGTCGTCACAAGTGCTGGGCCAGTGGAAGTCCTGCGTGGAACGTGGAAAGAACGCGGACGGAACGGCGTGGAAGTCCGCGTTCGTCGGTCGGGTGGCGAAAGCAAAGCACTTTTGGGCATGAAGCCTTACCCACACACTCCATGTACATCATGCATGGCATATTTACATACATTGGGATGGTTTCAGGAGTCAATGGGGCGGCATATATTCCAAGTCCACATCGGTGTCTGGGCTGTGTCTCATCCTGGTGAAGAGGGAAGTGTCACACCTTTCAATCAGCCCTGCTGGTTGGATGATCGCCCCCGAAGCGGCGACTCTAGCGATTCCTCAACGTCGCCGGCGAGAACACCGGCGCTGCTCAAACCCGTTGCGGTGACCCGGTTGTCTGAAGTGGGTTTCCACTGATAGTTGCAATAACTTGGATTTGCTGAAGAAACCGGGACAAAGGGATTTACCAGAAAGGGATTCACCCATACGGAAAAAATCGCCTTAAGCAAAACCAGGATAATAATCGAAATCGATGAGCTACTGATCACAGTCCCGCAACTCTGCCAGAACACTCCTCTGCCATGATGATGTCGAGCCCAAAGGCCTGCAGCGCGAAGGCCCAAAATATGTGTTGCCAGAAGAAGTGGGATGAACATCTCGACACACATAGTTCATACAAGTTTTTGGTGTTTTGTGTGGCTCAAAGACACTGAATTCCAATGGAGTCAATGTTTGCCAAGTTCAGGACCTCAATCCTTTTTCTAAGACGCCGCATGTTTCATGTCGCATCTCCAAAGAGTTTCCCTTGATTTATGGATCCCTTTTTGGAGGATGCTTGTCCAACGCCATCTCATGTCCAAGCGGGTCGGGAGCGAGCTCTCCAGGCCCCCCGCACCTCTGCCAGGTGTTGGAAATCGATCGAGGGCTGGGTGCCCTGCAGGGGCGGGAGCAGCAGCACTCGGTTGAGCACCTCAAGTGGACAGAGAGCGGTGAGCGGTGAAGTGGACACCCTTGTATATATATATATGTGTGTGTGTGTGTAACCCTTGGAATCATAGGGATCCTTTCGGATTGTTTTTTGCTTCACAGTTGTTTTCCTTGTGTAGCAGGGGCGTGTGGCACTCTCGTCCTACCACACGCAACGAAGCTGTGGGCGAGAGTGGGAAGGGAAACTTGGCCAGTTTCCTGTACCTGCTGTGATAATCACTCCAATCTCCGGGCCCTGCTTGTACCTAAAACAAGAAATCCAGCCTTTGCACCGGCTTGCTCTCGGCAGTCACGCATAGGGCTTTGGTTTCGGACGACGTCACTCTGTCGCTCGGTCGTTCGACGGTTCCTTTAGAGTTGATGGCCACGCTGAACTTGATGGACCTCCACTTCCTTTTCAGGTTTCCTTACCTGTACTCTTAGGAATTGGTAACCTAGGCCGGCGTGTGGCACCGCTTTCAGTTCAGTACACCCTATCCTAAGTGTGTGTGATTGTATATGTGTGTGTATGCTTATATAACATTACATATGCACACCCGGGAACATTCACATGGAACCTGAAAATATAGCCCTTTGGAAAACCATTGTTCCTCAACCCAGAAGCTTTCAGGTTCCATGTGGGTCTCCTCCAGGGCGTATACGGCGTATAGACACACACACACATATATATATATATATGGGGGTTGTTCAAAAGTCCTTTCATTTTTTTCCAGGCCTTTCGCAGGACCTTCGCGAAGCTTTCGCAAGCTTTCGCGCGTGGGGTTTTACCACTGTCGGCGAAAATGGTTTTTCGTTGGGTCTAGAGGCTTTCAAGGATTCATGCAGTTGCCCTGGCACGTCTTGTGTCCTCTGATCACTGACACATTGATTGCTGAGGAACAGGAAGCCAGCCAACCAAGCAGTTTTCATGTTGGTGTGTTTTTGGTTGGGCACAACCCTCCATGAACAAGAGACGGCTCAGTCAGGCCAGTTTGCTCAGACTTCCAATTATGGTTCAGACTTCGAATTTGCTTTTTCCGGGGCCGGGAAAAAGCAAAATGGTTCAGACTTCGAATTTGCTTTTTCCCAACCCGGGAAAAAGCAAAATGGTTCAGACTTCCAATTTGCTTTTTCCCGGGCCGGGAAAAAGCAAAACGGCCAGACTTCCAATTTGCTTTTT